CAGTGGTGTTGTGATATGATTTATGGTTCTTTTTCCTCTTGTTCTGTAGCTACCACATTAAGAAATGGAGGAAATGTTCTTGTGCCTTGTTGCCCCTCTGTAAGTTGTTTGATAAGGCTAGTTTCTGTGACATGTCAACCATCAGTCATTACTAAAACTTGCAGAACGTCAAAATGTTGTCAAACTCATTAACCACAGGCAAGAATGTAAAATGCTATAGAAATGACACACAGGTTAAAGCAGAAATTTGAAAACTACTTGAGAAATAGTTTCCTTGAAAGTTCTGTGATTTAGTTTTGGTCATCCATGAGTTTGTAAAGTATCTAAAATTAGAGAATGGATAAAAGACCACACTTATTATTTTTCTCTAGGTAGCTTCTCTATCTGCCCTTCTAGGCTCTCCTTTCCAGTAGGGTTTCAATATAAGTCGTTTACCAGTAGTGCACCTTAGCCTGTAAGACCCACACTGCCATTTATTCAGCTGGTGAGCACACCCTTATGTTTGGGTTTGGCCTAACAGCACAACCACCAATTGCACCAGAAGAAAAGTTATTGAAAACCTCACTTTCACATTCTCATTTTTCATCCTCAACCTTCGTTTTACTTACCTTTTACCAACTGATTTTCCTTTTCAAATCACAGGGTGTTCTGTATGATCTGTTTGAGTGTTTGTATTCATACATGGACGGTGCCAATCTTTCAGCCATCCCTATCTATTTCATCTCTCCTGTTGCTGACAGTTCTTTAGCATACTCTAATATTTTTGCTGAGTGGTAAGTGAACAGAATTGTTTTAACTTTGCATACGTTTTTTTTTTTTTTAATCCCGGCTTTGTAAAATTTCTCCTTGGACAAAGAATTAATAGTTTCCTGAAGTGATTAGCATTAAAACAAGGCTGAAGAAAGCAAGGAGTTCTGAAATATTGTTAAAAGTAGCTAGATACTTTCAAAAAAAGCATCCTCCCATTGTATCAACCCTTTTCACTCCCGTGATTGACAGAATTTCTCTTTACAATATCAATAAAATGTTAAGCAGAAGAGTGACGAGAATAAAGAAACATCAATTAAGGGGTTATTAGTTGTTTCACTACCAAATTCTCAGCACTAATATCATAAGAATTGTATGGCAGACTGTAAAGAGAATTACTAATGAGATCTTGGGAGTGGTAATTTTCTAACTCTGAACTGTGCTGTGGTACTGCGTTGATGGCGGATAATGCAATTGGCTTTTGTAAAGCGATTGTAATGCAGCCCTTTCGAGTGTTAGCCCCGCGTTAAAGCCAAGGGAATCCTCCTATTCTATTGGTGTATCTCTGTGAAAGGCTTTGACCAATTTCTTCTCTTTTTTTTTCTAAGGCTGTGTCAAAGTAAACAAAGCAAAGTTTATTTACCAGAGCCACCCTTTCCACATGCTGAGGTACAGTGCCTTGCTCTTATTTCTCTATTTCACCCCCCCAGATCTACCAGCTATCTACAAAGTGCCATAGATTCCATTGTGGATTGTCTTGAGAGTTTGGTGTCACACCTTGCGGATTAAGCGCTTTTGTCTTCATTTTTACCAAAAAACACATTTTGACGTCATTTTACCACATTTTGAGCTATCATCTATTTATTATTTATACAGCTTGTGAAAGCAAACCGTCTGAAACACTTTCCAAGCATCCACGGTAAGATAGCTTATATCTTGACTTCTCCTATAGTTCTCTTATTATCTGGCTTTGGGCGAGGTTATGACCTCGAAATCGAGCATTCTATTTCAAACCGGCGAGCAGCGGAGATATCTGCAGATTTGATCAACCATCGAAATTTGTTTAAAGTTCTTCCTTCGTTGTTAGAGCGTAGTTACTTGGGTAAGTGGAGTTATTAGGGACCCTAAGGAAACCACGACGGCGACGGCGACGGCAACGAGGACGTGGAAAAACAAAAAATCAGTCTAATGAGCAGAATAATGGCTGAACAGGTGCGTTTTAAAACTTTGTACATTTCTTAGCCGTCCATACCAAAAACAAAAGAACAACAACAACGTAAAATCACCAAAATGGCGAGGTCTGAAAACGTAAACCCTGACGGAAAATTGTACAAGTTCCCATTCGGAAATCAACCCGGCTTCCATACGTTAAGCTGGAGTTGAGGTGTGGTGCTGTAAGAGGCGGTAAGGACGTCCCACCGTTCGCGAAATTTAACAAAACAAAACTCAGTTTTGAATCGAAGTCTTTCTCGGCGTTGCCGTCCCGACTGCTTAAGATCCCTATTGATGAGAAAAATATAGGGGAACTCGTGGCGGTAATGAAGCTTTGAATTGATCGGTATGTAAGCCATACATTGCATAAACATGCTATGATATTGGCGTGGCTATGCGTGTAGACTTCGCCAGTTTCATAAAGAGTGATAAATCATTTTTGCAGATGGACTGAGCAGTTGTTTCAAGACGCCCTGTGTCGTATTCACTGGACATCCGTCGTTAAGATATGGAGACGTAGTGCACTTCATGGAACTCTGGGGAAAATCAAATGGAAACACTGTTATATTTACTGGTAAGTAAGGTTTCCTTGAAAATGGCATTCCCTTTCGTCGCATTTAGTGCTTTAGGCGAGAAATCTGCTGTTTAGAAAACCATATGCCCCCTTTCCCTCTAATTTTGTGTCAGTTTGTTGAGTCAAATTGTAGAGAATTTAAGCAACCACGACGGCGACGGCAACGAGAACGTGGAAAAACAATAGATCTAAATGGCAGAACAATAGCCCAGCACGTGCGTTTTAAAACTTTGTACATTTCTTAGCCGTCCTTTGCAAAACAACAACGTGAAATTACCAAATTTGCGTCGTCTGCGAAGCGAAACCGCGGCGGCAAATTATCTTAATTTACCTTTGGAACATAACTCTACTTTTATGCGTTATGTTGAGTTTGAGGTCTGGCGTCCTATGAGACGGTAAACACATGCAGCCATTTTCGAAATTCTAATTAATAAAAGTAAAAACTCATTTTTTAATTGACGTGACGTCTTCCGTGGCGTTACCGTCGTGACTGCTTAAGTTCCCTTATTTCTCCTCCTTTCAGAGCCAGAATTTCCATACCTAGAAGCTCTTGCACCGTATCAACCTCTAGCAATGAAGGTAGGTGTGTTACCCGTAAAAAAATGTAATTAAACAAACAAATAAACGAATCAATAGTACATTTTACAGTTGTGTGCTTGGTTGCCAAACCTTTGAACGGTAGTGAGGCTAGGGTTGACCTTGTTATGATACAAACCATGCTGCCTTTCCAATGTAAATCACTTTGTTATCATGCTAAGTAGATACAAGTCTTTATCACAACAAGGTCACCTTCAGCCTCACTCTGAATCAAAGGCTTGGCAACTAAGTACACAACTGTAAAATGGCCTACTGAAGGAAACACCTACTAAATAGACGCAACAGAGCAGTCGACGTTGAGGGGATCTAGGGCCTGGGGGGGGGCAAAAAAATGTTCGGAGGGGGAGAGAAGGGTAAGTCGAAGCCTGACTGAGCTCGAACTTGGGACGGGCAAATTACAGATCGACCGTCCTGCATGTGCTTTGAGCCCTCTCTTCCATTCTATGAGAAGCTAAGGAATTCATTAGGTACTTCGATAACTTCAGACTAAAAGCCGCAAATTAAAGGTGAGATGTATATTTTTTCCACACATTTACACTTAAATTTCAATTTGAATTGTCGATAATCTGTTGTTTTTTTTCTTAAGGCTTGTTACTGTCCGATTGACCCAAGACTTAACTTTACACAAGCTAACAAACTAATACGTGAACTTCAGGTTAGTACTTTTACATTAATGACAGTTATATAGAATTAAGAGTAGAACAGTAAAAAAATTTTTACCTGTGGAAGATTGCTCACTTGCGCTCCACGTTAAGTAGCGTAGGCGGCGAATTAACAACTCGACCGCGGTTTGGCGTGGTCTGTCATCTTATCAAAACCGGCAAACTGGCCGATCAGATTGCGACATTATTGCCAGTTATGGTTATCTAAATTTTTCTCCTCAATAAATCCCGTCTCTTGCAAACACAGTAATGTTTTTGTTACCTTTTCGAATTGTTTTCTAAGTTTCCCTTTCGTTCTCGTGAACTCCTTACTTTCTAAACCTCATTTATATTCGCTCCCTTGTTTTCATTCAGCTTTTTAAAAGTTATAGGGGCCAGTCAACTGCGATAGCAATTTCTTTACTTTTACTCTTTAGACCTAACTCAACGTGTGTCAAATTTGATCTTGGACAGAATAATATTGTATCGTTATTAGTTTTTGTTTGTTGGTTATTTCAGCCCGGCCAGCTTGCTATACCAGAAGCATACACCAGAGCACCGGATTTACTGCCGCACAAAACGGATCTAACCATTCAAGATACGGTAAACGATTTTTGCTCTCATAGTTGTTCATCAGAAGCGATCACAAGGCGTCCTTACACGAACATTTACTCGTGAGCAAGAGGGGAACGAGTTACTAGTCTCGACCACCCACAAAGGCCTTACACTCGGCTAACTGCTTTTAGCTTGCGTAACTGGCGGTTTTTCGACGCAGATTGCGAATCGATATATGAAAATGTTCGACAGTTTCCTTCCCAGGCCATCGCAGGCTACGATTCAAGACGTGCGTAAAACCGCCAGCTACGTAAGCTAGGCTTTTCTCGAGTTATTTTTATACTTCAGGGATGAGTTGTATGAAGGGCGGAGAACGCTGTCCAACGGATAAATCGCTATCCAGCGGATATGTGAGAGCAAAACGCGTCGCGCTATCCACCGGATGACAATTTATCCCCTTGAGAGCGTTATCCAACCTTTGAACAACTGGGGCTAGATGTCTGGCGTTCCAGCAATAATGTTCCATGAATCCCACGTACTTCTTGTATGTTTTGTCCCTTGGAATGCCCATGTGAGCAAAGTTAATTAAGGATTTGTTTTTTGCGTTTTTAGGAGTGCAAGATCTCCACGTTTAGCCACTTGGATGTTCTATCCTTGTCGGTGAAAAGAGAGTTTGAGAAAGTTGTCTTATCGAACGAGGTTAGTTTGTGTCTTTAAGATAAAGACTATTTACGCAAAGAATGTTTCGTCGGCGTTTAATGTCGAGTACTGCTTTTCAAAATGGAGAATTTACGATACTTTCGCGAGGCGGAAGAAAGGTGTGTAAGGCAAAGTCGGTTCACCTTCAAAACGCAATCTTTTCTGACTTTTCACGCTCACCTGACACAGCGCAGGAGTCACGTGTTCTGATCACATTAATCAAACACTTGATGTAACAACATAACGCCGCCTTTCTTAATTAATTTCCAGCTCAAATAGCCGCCATAGCAAAGCGTAGTGTCCAATTTTAGATATCAGTGTTTGGTTTTGGACGCAAGTGTCCGATTGTAAGTATCTGATGGAACTTAAATCAACCAGGAGTGCTGCAACTGCATTTTCCCCCCCGCACCTTCCTAAACACACACACATACATCTGCGGATTGTCAGGTTTCCTTGGTTCTCAGTTGTCTTACAGAGGTTTTGCACAGCAGCCATGTTGGATGGCAGGAACAATGAAAATTTCCATAAGGTCGTAGTAGTAGCAAGTATGATAAATATTGTAAGAAATAGACAACTTTTTTGAGAGACATGTTTCGGCATGCTTATGCCATCTTCAATCAATGAGTAACAGATTGAAGTAGATGAATAAATAATTTATTCATCTACTTGTCTGTTATATAATTGCTCCCGTTCTGTTACTCATTGATTGAAGATGGCATAAGCATGCCGAAACATGTCTCTCAAAAAAGTTGTCTATTTCTTACAACAATGAAAATATTTTGCATAAGAAAGAAAATGTTTTCCCATGGCTAAAATAATCTATTGTTCCTGCCATCCAACATGGCTGCTGTGCAAAACCTCTATTCATATTTGTTTCACGGCCCAGAGAGGCATTGTTAAAGTTATGTGTATTAATGATATTTTCTAACCAAGTCGGTCAAAACATGTGGAAATATTTTGTATGCTTTCCTTTTTTCAGTTGGCCAACGGCCTCCACCCTCAGGAAGTGAGGCCTGGTATAGCGGTAACCACTGTTACGGGTACGTTGGTATCGAAAGACAACAGATATACTCTTGAGCCATTAGATCTGACGGGCGACGGATTTCACAAGACAACGTAAGTCGCTTGACCCTTTTCACCCTAACATCAGTTTGCATATTCTCCATAATGTTCTCCAAACATTTCTTGAGGTGCCGATAAGGAGAATTTGTTTAACAATCAAGAGCTTGTGTTGGTGATCATTTCCTTTATTCTCGTGATGAAATGTGTGAATCAGAGGTGATATTGTCAGGAGAAATTAGATGCCAATCACTCCGAGGGGTCAAAGAGATAAATTTTTGTGTCTTCAGTTGTTAGGACCAATTTTAAGTGTTTTGAATAATGGAGTGCCTGATCCTCTAATGAGTTTTGCTCTTGCAATAAGTTTTTTTTTTTCTTATCTGATGATTTTCAATCCCTTTTGCCTTAAAGTGAAATTTTTTTTTTTTTTTTTTCATACAGGGATTCAAAGGCGGAACCCAGAGTAGACCAGAAGTCCTGTCATTTATGGGGAAGCGTTCTCGTGGAAGATCTCATAAAGTCTTTGGCGAAGGTAAAGTCTCCATCGCGAGACTGCCTCACATAGCTTCCGAAACTCATCAATCCGATTAAATAAGTTTGCCAGAAACATTTTATTATTAAACTCTCAGCACCCCAATCTTGTTCACTTTTTCTCGTTTTTGTCTTCTTAGCGTGTTATTGAGGACGTCAACGTGGATTCTGATCAGTGGGGACACACTCTACACTTGGTGAGTGAAAAGCTAACTCATTAGAGGTCATTCCCCAGTGTTGCAGTGGGCGTCCTTGAAGTTTAAATGTAACGATCGCAGGCATATTAAGCAGCAATTCGAGTCCTAGTACATGGGCGCACGTAGATATAGAATTTCCCTTCTGGTGATACCTCAGTAGTGACCGCAGAGAACGGGCGAGATATCTTGTAATAAAGTGTCCCATTTTACTTTTTGGACTTCTTTACATGTTTGTGTGGTGAGTTTAGCTTTTTTACTTTTGTTTGCAGACCCAACACGATGCTATGATTCAACTGGATCGAAGTGGGACACACATTATTACGCACGGAAACGAGGCTCTTAGGATCGAGATCCGGGATTCGCTTCTTGAGTGCGTGTCGCAGTTTTAAACGCGCGTCAACGTTCAGGAACTTTGGTCGCTGCTTTGTTCAACGCCTGACATGCCGGCATCTAATGGACTGCAGAGGCGCAGACGTCCCATCAACTTATGCTGCTGAATTTTTTCGAGTTTGTTTCAGGACGAACTGGCTTGAAGAGAGCGCGTGGAAAGAGCGAAGTCTTCAAGTCGTTTTACCAATTTTTTTTCTTTTTTAACTACAAAGAGGAAAGTGTATATAAGTTATGCATTCGTAAACGAACATTAAAGTTTGATTTTAAATAAAATAATAAAAAGATATGGTCGACTTCCAAAATGGGGAATTTTTTCATCTTGGGGGTCGTCTCCACTGGAGATATATTTCCCTAAATATTTTTTCCAGAAATTGTAATGGTTATGATTAACTGGTTACAGAACTTCGAGTCATCTAGTTCAGTCTGTAATGATACTCGTGATTGCAGACCGGACTCCCCCTTCGCGGTCGTTCGATTTTGTTAAGTACTCGTATGATTACAGACCTAATAACATACATCAAAAAACCACGCGCATCTGATTGGCGGTAAACGAGTGCATTTTTTATGTAACACGAGTGCAAAGTTGTAACACTAATGCAATTTTCAAATAGCGCACGTTCGCTATCAAAAATTTCGTCTGTCTTGACTTTCTGTGATGCTTTCTTTGCTGCGCAGTGAGTGTAGCGAGTGAGCAGCAACATAGTCAGGATTTAAGACGATTATATTATATGAAGTGGGTTTGAATTCTCGAATTCATCACTTTTTTATCAGATTGCATTTTATTTAACCAGATTGCATCGTGCCACTTTATACCAGAGTGCCTCGCGGGTCTTCACTCAGTGCAGGCACAGGCACATCGACTGCGTTGCAATGTGGTGGCGGGATTCTCGATAAGGCGGTGAAAGCGGCAGACTTTGACTGAATATTTCATAAAAGTTGAGCCGTTTCTTTTTTCTTTCGCCAAAGGTTAATGTTATTTGACATATTCTCAATGTGTAGAAGTATTTTTAGCGTCACTGTCGCATATTCTTTCGTTCTCAATGACAAAAGCAAGCACTGCTTTTTAGTAAGTAATTTGAGATCGGTTTTCGAGAAGGTGAGATTTGTTGTACGTCGTATTCTGAAACCTTCCAAAGATTTGGATGGGCACTTTTAAGTGTCTATACGGCCAACAGGGCTTTTATTGTTTTGGTATCTCTTTAACCTGTATAAAAGTATTCTTCAAAAAATAAATTGATTCTGACGCCTCTTCACCCTAAAATAGAGCTTTAAAGTTCCCGCTTCGGCCACACCCAATGAAGTTGACCGCGTAAGGGAAGATTGGTGATGAGTGACGTCACTCCATGAGCGCCTCGAGCGTCGTGTTGCTACTTTGCTTGACAAACGCGGTACTTTTACAACACATCTATCGGGCATATTTATGTCGCCGAAAACTCTTTACCTAACTGAAAAAAACAGTGAAATGAACCACTGGCGGGATTTTGCGCGTTCCTGATTTGACGTCACGACCCATTTTGAACCCAGTCTCTTTTTTTGCCCCGACTCACGGTCACCTTAAATGGGCGTGGCCAAAGCGAGATGTTTAAAGCTCGATTTCAGGGCGATAACTCGTCAAAATCCAATTTTTTATTTAAGAATACTTTTTTACATGTTAAATACATACCAAAACTATAAAAAGCCTGTATGTTGGCCGTATAAACACTTGAATCCTTAATCCTATGGCATTTAGTGTATTACGTTACATAGCAGAACTACTGTAAGGATATTTCCTTTATGTACTCAATCGTGTTGTAGATGTACTTTCCTAAGTAAAGGCAAATGAACCAATCACGAGCATTGTACAGTAAATCCACTATCTTGATCACTGAATGAAGGACAGTTGAACAAGAGCAACTATAATTCTTCTTTTACCATCACTTCCCCCCTCACATACCTACGTAAGCACGTACGTACACTTTGTCAGGTTAAAAAACCAGCACGCACGTACGCAGGCACGTACGTGAGCACAAACGCACGTACATATGCACGCACGTACGTGAGCACGTAGGCACATACGTACGTACCTACGTACGTACATACATTCATACGCTAAACCCTAACCCTCGTATTATTTACAGAGTAGTATGCTAACTACATTAATAACCAATAACTAGTAAAGTTATAATGACACGCAAAATAGGCAAGTAGCTAGCGCTTGCAAAATTAACTCAGAGTAGTTAAAGAAGATTAAACTAAAATTCCGCTTATTTTTTTCCCAACAAAATAAATATTTCCTCTCTGAAGGTTTTTTTTTTCTTGGCAAATTCAATCAGACGTTAATCAAACGTCTAATAAGATATATTATGTTTCAACACTTTTCTGCCCCGGTGCATTGCGTAAGTTTTAACAAAAGGTCAAACGATCAGGTCTCTACAAGGTCCAACCTCAATTGATAAAGGCAAAAACTCAGCTTTAAATTACCATAACATACAAAAGCGCACAGCGAGGTACATGTACAAGGGGTGTGGTAATAGCTCATCAAAGATGGCGCTAGTTATTCACGACACGATTTCACTGACAACTTCTAGTGGAGTGAGCAGCATTCAGTTGTGTATCGGAGATATTACCAAGCTGTCGAAGGAAGAACAGGTTGATGTTTTGGTTGTTTCCGCGTTCCCAGGTGAGGTGCTATGTAAATAGCAAACAGAGAAGGTCAACTAGACGATTCCGAGCTCCCCATGCCCGATGTCAGTTGATATACTCTTTATTCGATTCTTTACAAATTGATCACATGATGACAAGTCGATGAAGATCTACAAGTGTAGGAGATATTTTAAATGTTTGTCATGTCGCTCAGACATCAATTATCCAGCTGAATAAGCTGCAATAGACAGCTCTTTATATAGGTCCTTTCGTAGGAAAAGAAGATTATTTGTTTACCAGCGCTAATTGCCAGAGTTACGTTACGGTGGAGTTTTAATTTTGAAGGGCGAATCGTAATTATTTTCAAGACCAAGATGTACAAAATTAATAGTATGCACATGTTAAAGATGAAGGTACTAGAAGATATTGCGAGACATCTCTCAGTACAAATCGAACTAGAATCGTAGATTAGGATGGCGGAATTCTCAATTTAGAATTATAGAACTATTTAGAAGTGTACAGTTATAATTATTATAGATTTATAGCTCCCCGTGCTCGTTGTCAGTACATATGCTCTTTACTCGATTATTTATGAATTAATTATGTGATGAGAAGTCGATGGAGAGCTTCAAGTGCAGATGTTTTAATTAAATTTTTTCATGTCGCTAGGATATAATATCCAGCTGGATAAGCTCCAGTAAGCATCTCAGGTCTTTTCGTAGGAAAAGAAGATCATATTTTCACCGGCTAGCTCTTATCGCCAGAGTTATGCTACTGTGATATTTTAATCTTGAAGGGCAAATTGTAATTATTTTAAAGACTAAGATGTACAAAATTAATGTTATATTGGTGCTGTACTAGCATCCGTTCGATATCTTTCAATACAAATCGAACTAGAATTTTAGATTAAGATGCTAGAATTCTTAATTTAAGAATTACAGAATTATTTAGAACACAAGTGTAGAGTTAAAGTTATAGAACTATAGAATCATTACATTATAACCAGCTTTATCATATGGCTGTGTCTCCTAAGGACTGGGAACTACTGAATTCATTAAATTGATTGGCTGAAATCAATATTGAAAGTGTTCCAGATTTTCCCATCTAGAGCAGCATCTAGACCGGTCTAGAAAAAAAAGGTACAAAGAATATAAAAAATTGGCATACAAGACACAGCCATGTAGGTCAGTCTGTATGGGAGAATCTTGACCTCGGTCACTTGTACAGACCTCACTACGTCCGGTCTGTACTGGTGACCTCGGTCAAGATTCTCCCATACAGACCTCCCGCTCAGTTAGTAAGAACTAAGCAATTCCCATGAGTGACCAAGACAGAGATCAATATCAATGCAATCTCAAGCAGACAAGTGACATGAATTAAAAAATCTCAAGTAGGGGATTATTAGTTGATCCAATGCAAAACTCCCTAAACTAACATCGTGAAAATTGTATGTCATCTGTTATCTGCCATGTGTCTGTTCAGAAAGTTTCTGAACAGACACTGGCAACGTGAGCGTTGTATGTGTTAAATAGACCTCATTTTTTTCTTACAGGTGACTACTCACCCACACCTAGTTCCCTAATAGGAGCTCTTTCCAGTAATCTTGGCATCAGTGTGCATAACCTTTCCAAAGACAAAGAAGAAGACCTTCGTAAACAATATTTCTGTTGGTGGTCCAAACCACTTCAAGAGCAGTATAGTTTCAGGAGGATCCTTTGTTTTGAGGGAGGATTTGGTAGCCGTGGAAGCTCACCACCGAAAGTAGTTGGGGCTGTGTTTAGATGTCTTATACCAATTCTTAGTGGGAAGGACTCCAAGGGTGGGTCAGTGATGATGCCTCTCATTGCATCTGGGGATCAGGTATTTTGATTCAGCTCTTTCTGGAGTAATTTTGTTATGTAAAGGAAAGACTGTTGACCCACAGCGAATCAAGCTAATTCCAAAATTTTTGTATGAAACTAGGGAATTGTTGCCTGCACGTGATTATGCCCCCTGCTCTTCTCTCTATGTCTCTTAACCTTAACATCAGTATGCATATTCTCCATATACTGTTCTTCATACATTTCTTTTGGTGCTGATAGGGAGAATTTGTTAAACAATCAAGAGCTTCTTTAGTCTGTTAATCTCTTGACCTTGGTGTTTGATTAAGGGGTGATATAATTATGTAAGGAGAAGCTAAACGTTGGGCACCCTAAAAGCTCAAAAGGTTAAAGATTACAAATTGCAAAAGTACAAACCCTCGGGTTAGGAATCTGTACTGAGACATCTCCAAGCACCCAGAGCCCAGTTGTTTATTGGAAAGATAATGCCATCTAACAAGTTAATTGCTATCCATGAGGTAACAAATTAAAAAATGCATTGTGGTATCCACCTGATGCAGGTTAATCTACTATAGTTGATAGCATTATCCATCCTTCTAACAACTGAGGCTCGAGTATTAATCAGAAATCTGGTGGGAAATCAGTGCTTGGTTTCCTGACTTTTTTTTTCTTTATATCGATTTAGGGCTACTCTAAAGCACTGATGTCAAGACTCATAATAAACTCTGCAATTCAGTGGATCAAGACTGGCCTAGAATTGAAGACGCTGAAAATAGTTTTATTTTCAAGAAATCCTACAGAGCCTGACAAGTCAAATGAGCCACTCTTTGAAAGCTTTCAAAAGTTGAAGGACACATATGGAGACAAAGAATTAACATCTGAACAGGTATACTGTATTTTATATGACTTAATTTTATTAACAAGAAATATAAATTATTGCTAACTTTAAGTTTTCACTAGATAATATTTAACAATTATTTGCTGACGGCGAGGTGAATATCGTCGAATAATTATGATTATTTGACATTATTACACGACTCGGGCAGTCAGAGGGCCAATAACTAAAATCAACCAATCAAAATGCTCTATTGCCTGTCCAATATTCTCTAAGTATTGGACCGGGCACTGTCCCGAATGGTCCCGAATGATACCTCACTAGTGTCCCTTTGAACTTCAGTCGTATAATAAATCTCTTATTAACCAAGCTTGCTCGGGACCGTACTGGAAGAATATCGGCCCTCGGTCTTTTTTGTACGGACCGAGCGCAGCGAGGTCCTTACTGTCAAGACCTCGGGCCAGTTTTCTCCCAGTACAGCCCTCGCGCTTGGTTAATAAGATATATTTATTCACTGAACCTGAGGCGAATAATTGTTTTTAATTAGTATAATTTCAGAGCTGAACAACAGAGAAATTTCTAAAAATTAATCATAACATTTTGGTAACATTTATCAACATTTTATTTTAACATTTTATATAAACTGCATGGAGCAGTTTATGTAGCGCCATATCAGGAACCGCTTAACCAATCAGATTGCTGGAAACTCTTTGCTCAGCTCTGAAAGTATACTAAATTTTCATATCTTCTAGGAGTAAACCTTTAACCTTTAAACTCCCAGATGCAGTTAACATGTAACTTCTCCCTTTAACATCCAACATCTCCCAGCAAAAAGGTAATGAGAACTGAATGCTCCGACATATCAGGTAGACTGACTGTTACCTTGATCTAGCACCAAATTTGACTCCGTTATTTATAGTTTTCCAGACGCTTTACATTAAAAAAAATGAGTAGATGTGAGCCGAAAGTGAGTCATTTTGGATCGTTTTTTTACGCTGTTAATATTTTGTATTGTAGAGGATTTTATGGAATTTATTGCTAAATAAAGATTAGTATTATCTAGCACCAAATTCTTTGAACTTATTCAGGGCTCGACACTAACTTTTCAACTTACTAGCCAAATGGCTAGTAACATCTTAGATGTTTTTAGATGTTAGGACAATTTTAGTCTGTTTACTAGCCAAACTGGCTAGTGGAAATTGAAAACCACTAGCCAAAACTGAATTTCTACTAGTCTGTGGCTATAGTGGGCTACCCTTAGTGTGGAGCTAGAGGGAGAGAATTAACATTCAGATTTTAAGAGTTAAAGGTTTAAGGAGGACCGCTGGTTGACCGCCTGTCTGTCATCCTAACCAAGTTCCCATTCCAATTGTACATGAATTCCTAAGGAAATTATCTTCAAATCAAATTCACTTGTCATATGTGGGTTATGAGTTACTAGGGGTTACANAAACCAGTATTAGTAGGCTTGACCTAAACTTTTGTCTTAATTTGCGGTTCACGGTTTTCATTAATTATTTATTTATTATTAGTGATAATATCCCAACTACATGAGGGATTTACTTTGGTTCCAAACAACTTGACTCTTTTGGAACTAAAACAAGACTGCATCATTTTACTCTTTTTCTTCAATAATAATTTTCTTGATTTGTTACTTACAATCACTATGATAACTTGGATCTCCCTTGATGTTCCGTAGGAGATCATCTACGATGTTTATATGTCCCATAGTCCAAAGGACCATGAAACTGCCGTGAACATTGCAAATTTTTTACGAACTGAGCGGAAAATCAAAGTGTTTCATGATTTCCAAGAGTTAAATGATGATGATTCTTGGCAAAAGGAGATATTTGACATCATGAGCAAGTGTGCTCGTGTCATTGCCTTGTTGAGCCCAAGTTACCTCGAGACAGAGAGCTGTATAGAGCAATATAACATGGCCCTGTGCATAAACAGAAGATCGCGTGGAACAGTTCTGGCTCCATTTTACATCACATCAATGGTCTATATGCCAACATATATGAGTCTTATTCAATATGAAGACTGTAGGTATGTTACAAAGTACTGCTTGTAGCCCTGGAGCACATAAGCACGGTCTTAAAGTAGTGTCCTCTTGTTTCATTTTCAACTTTTTCGTTCACCTAATTATGCTGAAAAACCAGCAGGCACACGTTAACAGTACTTAAGTTTGCTTTCTTCTCGTTGCACTTTGATTTTTTAGGCCAAAAGACACAGAAAAGATCAAGGAAGCCAGTCATCATGTGGCGAATTCGTTGGAGATGCCGCAGGAAGATGCTCTATCTGGAGTGACGGAGACAAAGACCATTGAAACCTTGAGTTATGATGTGTTCATTTCATACTCACATCAGAACAAAGAACACGCTGACAAGGTGCTGCAAACCCTGAGGTCTCTTGATCTAGAATTAAAGATCTTTATTGATACATCTGGTCTGAATACCGGAACATCTTGGCAGCAAAAGCTGTACAATTCACTGGGTAAGAAAGCAATTTCTAATTGAATGTCGAAAGTTAATTAGAATTTCATTGGTTTCCCATCATTAGACTCCGTGATTGGTTTAGAAGTCTCTCTCAACCAACTAGATGCAAAACTAAAAACCAATCGCGACCTGTTTACCTGCGTTTTCCCGCGCTTTAGGTAGTTATATGTTTTTAATTTCAGTTTTGATTGGCTCTTCATAAGCGTAGCCGTGCTCTTTGTTGGTGGTATGTTTTCCCGCGCCCGATGAAGTTTAACTGTGTTTTCGTGTAAGTTTTACTGCGCTTGGCCTCAATTATAAGTTTTGTAGACAAGTCTTTGGTTTTGTGCTTTTTTGGAGTTTTGCCTCACCTGCACGTTGTTACCCCACTTGGCCTTGATTTAAGGTTTTTTTCGCGTTTTGCATTTTCCCAAGTCTGTCACCCTCCCGCGCTAATGCCCTTGATTACAAGTTCCTCTCTCGCGATTTAGGGCAACAGATTAACTTGAGTTATATCTTCAAAGTCACTGTGGTAATAATTCTGGAGCATGACTCGTGCGTTTCTGCACAAAAACTTTTAATTTCTATTTATTCCCAGATGCGTCCAAAAGTACCATCGCTCTTTTATCGCCTGACTACATCAAATCTAGAGTCTGTTATGAGGAATTCTGCCTTTCGCACGCCCTGTTTGTGGATAAAGACAGTATTATGAATTTGGTGAGTTTGTTGGTGGAACCTGTAGAGAAACTACCTTTATGGTGTGAACAGCCCCTTCCAGTAGACTGTACCTCTCCGGAAGTGGATGCGGACCAAGTTCTCTCCTCGTTGTGTACTGACTTGGTCAAGAGACTGAAAGGTGAATGAAGTTATATTTGTCATCGAATGTTTTAAACTGTACACTCCAGGGAAAAGAACGTCCTCCTTTTCGCTGCTGTTTTAGTAGCTTATGTAGAAGGTGTCAGAACTAGACCGCCCCAAGCGAGGATTGACTCACAATGAGTCTTGGATTCTTCCTTCCTTCTTTCGTACGTATTTTTTGCCTTCTTGCCGAGCGCTCGGTATGTAGGCCATCTTTCAAGGGTAAAGGACCCCTGTACTTAAGCTTTCATTATTAGCTTCGAAATAAGTAATAATTGGATCCATTTATTAATTAACCACCAACCTTTTTCAGTAATTCTATGCTCCCACTCATGGTTGACTCTGTACTCGAGCTAATGTGTCCATTTCCCGGAGCTTATCCCATAGCATGAAGCCACTTGGAGTACTACTGCTCCCCCCTGGACGGGATGCCAGTTCATATCAAGGTTACTTTCCCCCCAACCACCTCCCCCCTCCACATTTATACTCCTGTGCAGGGAGAGGCGCTGTGAGAGTAAAGTGTTTTGCCCAAGAGCACAACACAATAAACTGGCCAGGTGTCGAACCCAGACCTCTCCACCCGAATCCCAGAACACTTACCATTGGGCCACTCATCCCTGAGTGTGATGTGTGGGAACAGTATTTCGGCTTATATTTCCTGCTTTCTCATTTCGGAGCCTTGTTTTACTGCAGCTTGGTTATCACTTTATGTTCATAGGAAGCAATAACACGGCACATGACATCCTCACCCAACGGGTGCAAGACCTGAAGAAAGGAAGTCTCACGCTGGAATCATCCATGGAGCACCACAGGAAATCAGTGTTTTTGCTTCGTGTGGGTGTTCTTAGTAACCCTGTACACCTCACAGGCTTCAACGATAACGATTCCTTCAAGGTGAGTCATGCCAGTGATGTAGCCACGTCTGTCGATGAGCAGCAACTTGGTGTAGATGCGTCAACGCAGAACACGTCATCAGAAGTGACGTCATCAATTTCTACCTCATCACAGGTGGCGTCTTCGACCTCAGCTACTTGCGATGTGGCGCTGAGTTACGCTTCAGGCGACACAAAATCAGCGATGGTATTGAAGCAGTTACTTCTCGAAAAAATTCCCTCGTTAAAAATCAGCGAACCTTTAGCAGGAGACTTCTCAAGAGTGCAGTCTTTGGACGTGGCCCGAGTAATTGTTCCGCTCTTGTCGCCGGCCTTCCTGACATCTAGTGAACTTGTTGAAGAACTCAACATTGCCATTTGTCGAAACCGTAGTTCCTCGCGACGAGTGCTGTTCCCCGTTCAGGTAGCAGTGGTTCCTCCGAAGCCCTCTTACGTCCATCTGATTCCAAGTGAGTTTTCCTGCAACGATTTCAAATGGGCGTGCAAAGTTGTTGATCAGGCCTTGCAAAATGAGGTCCATAGTCTGGCACACAGAAATGACATAGATGTGGATCTCGCGTTTTGTCTGAGGTGTGCCGCCTTTTCAATTATTGAGAGGCTCTTAGGAGAAGAGAGCACGGATTTGGATCTTGATAATCGAGTTTTACTGAATATTCACGAGGTGGAAGAAAAATGGAGGTGGCTACAAGTGGCACTACAAAAACAGGACGATTTTGCGGTGTCATGGAAAGCAGCTTTTGGAATTAAAATATAGACCAACGCGGATGATTTAAAACCAGCCAGAAATACTGAAGAGCTTGAAGTAAAGCAAGAACTTGACACTAAAGATACCATGGCTGAAGAAATTGAATCGAATGGAGTAGAACCTCATCCACAGGACACCAGGAACGAAAATGAGAAGACCGATGATCAGCCTGGCTCTAGTGAACACGGGGTTGATGTTGGAAGCAATGAGCCAGTTTCTCCCAAAGAGCGCAAGACTGTTCATCTTAGTGTGGAAGGAGGTGAAGTGGGTAGTTCAAGTAGCTCTGTACAGACAGAATCCAAATCTTGTTCAATTATCTAAACAGGCTGTCGTAGTATTCCTGCTAGGAAGCACTTATAGTGCTCGAACTATTGTGCCAGCATACTTAATATTTGACACTATATTTCTACGATTAAAGTGCCTGGTGCGTTAATTTAATTTTTATGGCTACTGGCGAAGCGATAATGTTGTCCTGTTGAGTGAGTGAGTGAGTGTAACAATAGAATACGAACGACCTCTTACAATGTTCCTCAGAATTAGCATGTGATCACACTGTTTTTACTGTTTCCATTTCCGTGTTGATGCAGAGGGATGACAGGTGTCAGTCAAAAAGCGTTTCGAGGCTTCTGAGAAGCGCAGAGAGAAGTGCAAGCTACTGCCAGGAGTTGCAAATACTTTCATCAAATGGCGCCAACAGACATCAGAAGGGTTCAGTTTAAATGGCTTGTCTATTCCAATAAAGTGAAAAACGCTATCATGGCATTTCTTAATGCTGCGAACAAGGTACCTTGTTTGCACTTTTCATAACATCATTTCTTCGCGAAAAAGGTATCATATTCGAGCTTTTGCTCGAAAAGGTTTACCCAAAAGCTAAAAGACGGGAGCTTTTTTTTAAAAAAAGTGCCTTTTTCAACTTTCCACCTTATCAATTAAAATTTACGAAAAAGGTAACAATTTTGCATTTTAATTTGGATATATCAACAAAGTTGAAATGGTAAATTGGCCACTGTAACGATTACAAAAGCTGACGTTTCGAGCGTTAGCCCTTCGCTCCGACGAAGGGCTAAACAGACGAAGGGCTAAATAGCTCTTCGCTCCGACGAAGGGCTAAAGCTCGAAACGTCAGCTTTTGTAATCGTTACGGTGGCCAATTTACCATTTCAACTTTGTTGATATATCCAAATTATTTCGTTACCCCCACCGACGCAGCCCCAAACAGTTTCTTTCGAAACTATCAGCCTTTATTCATTTGAATTTCGCATTTTGTCCACTAAAACATATCCAGAAATACAATATTTCAGATTCGCAACTGTTTTAAACAATAAGATTTAATTTTTATTTTTTTTATAGAAAAGTAGAATTGCTGGAGTATTTCACTGAATACCAGTGGCCGATTTTGTATTTTGGATAGTAGTGACCGATTTTGTATTTTGGACACTAGTGGCCTATTTTGGATTTTGGACANNGGAATTTTGTATTTTGGACACTAGTGGCCTATTTTGGATTTTGGACAGTAGTGGCCTATTTTGGATTTTGGACACTAGTGGCCTATTTTGGATTTTGGACACTAGTGGCCTATTTTGTATTTTGGACACTAGTGACCGATTTTGTATTTTGGACACTAGTGGCCTATTTTGGATTTTGGACAGTAGTGGCCGATTTTGAATTTTGGACACTAGTAGGCGATTTTGACACAAAAGGCTGGAACGAACAAAGTACTAATGTAAGTCCTATTGAGAATGTACGCCTCCCGGTTAGCTCAATTGGTTAGAGCGCTGGACTGTTGTGCGGGAGGTCGAGTTCGAGCCCCAGCCGGACCAACACTCGAGGTCTTAAAAAAACTGAGGAGAATGCGCTACCTTTCCATAATATCAAGAAAAGGATAGACATTCTAGTCTTCTCGGACGAGGACGAATAAACCGTTGGTCCCGTCCCCTGTATCTATTAATTAATTAATTTGGTTAGGCAGGGGACTAACTTAAAGAACCCACTCGCGAGATTACTGTGATGTGGTCTGTCCTGTTTACTGGGAATTGGGGGGGAGGGGGCATCTTCAAATAAGTTTCCTTCGATTATTTGTAAACTGCTGAGGCAGTCCGGCCAAAGTCCCCCGAAAAGTGTTGTGATGCGCATTTGATCATATCCACATGTTAATTAATTTGCGCAATATGAATATTAAATAATTATTATGGTGGCAGTTACTATTATTATTATTATTATTATTATTATTATTATTATCATTATTATTCTGGATTTGCGTAATATTCATCCCAAAACTGGTAAACATTTCACATTAATTTAATTGTAAATTTATGCCAAACATCATGCTTTTCATAGCCTGCGTTGCAGCTGGACGTGTCACACAATCCCCCGGCGGTTTAGACTGTCTGCGACGCAGGCTAGCTTTTCAGTGTTATCCAATTATCCAACCATGTTCGTGAGGTCATTTCAATTGAAAGAAGGATTGTGTCTATGGAGGTAAACGCCACAGGTCGAAGACATGCAGCAGCTGCACGAAGAAACGAACTCTTTCTTGAGTGCAAAGTTTTTTTGTGCTAACTTAAGGAGCCTGGAAAGCAGATCTTTTGTAGGTGTTGGCCAATGGAGGACAATCGGGAACCAATTGGAACACATGTTTATGTGCTAATCTAGAATGCGGACTGGAAAGTTATGTAATCGATCGATATTCATAACTCCGGCTTTTCTCATGCAACGGGCCAGTAGGAATTTTCACCTTTGAGCTCATCGAAGGTATTATGGAAGCCGAGGAAGAAATGAAGAAAGGGAACTTCCAGAAAGCTCGCGAACTGTTCGACGACTTGCTTCGGAAAGGCAAAAGCAAAGTTCATTACCTGCTTGGGAAAGCTGATTGTTTCGTTCTAGAAGGACGTTTGATGGATTCGTTGCCCATTTATTGCGAGGCGTTTAAAAGCGGTAAAGTTCAGCCCAATCGACTGCTTCAGCTTGTCGGTGCTTTAACAAATATGATAAAAATCGAACTGAATGAGTATCAAGCAGATGACGATTATGACACGATTTTGCAATGCATGAACTGTACGGGTATTTTGTGCGATCCTGTTACTCTACCCTGTGGAGATTCCTTTTGTAAACTGTGCTTGGAGAAACGAGAAGCGAAGAAGTGCGAGCATTGTGGCGGTTCGTTTCCCTACATGCCCTTAAAGGTGAATGTTATTTTGCAAGACATCCTTGAGAAATCGTTCGACAAGGAATTGGGGGCTAATCGGTTGCGTCTAGAAGGGAACAATTTACACAGAAAAAAACAAAGCCTTGCCGCGATCGATAAATACCTCGAAGCAGAGAAACTCAGTAAGTATTCATATAACTTTCTTTTGTTTCGTACTGAATTTCTTCAACTTGCAGGATCGAGCTCGTGTTGCCGCGTTTACCCCCAAAATGGCAACAAAATTAAGAGGAAATGAATTACGTAACTATAATAATGCTGAGTAAAAGTATCCATTGTTCCCTTATCCTAAACATTTTTGTCAAAAGCCTTTATGTGACTATGATGTGATGCGAAGTGTAATCGTGTTCCGTTGAAAAGGCGAAAAGACACAACGTGGTAATTTTAAGTTTCAATTGAATTGCACATTTCCTATGCAACATCCCAAAAGTTTCACTTGCAAAAAATTAAACCATCCATATCATCGACCATAAAAGCCATATGAAAGAAAATCTGTATTGATCAGTTCGAACCTGATGGGTACTATTTCTCAAATAAAAATTTGATTTTGCCATTTGAGGACCGAAAAAGAAAATTGCAACTGTTACAGTTTATTGATTCTTGTGTTTAGATTCGTGTTTCATAATCTTTCCGTGCGGTTCAGTTTTATCTATCCGTGGAATTATAATTGAAGAAAGAAGCAGTTTAGATAAGAATGCCTTCATTAAGCGATCACAAAGCAATTTTCCTTTTTTTTTTTATGAAAACAGACTGTTTTCTAGATTTGCATGGTCTGTGATGTGTACATTTTGTTATTGTCGTTGATTTCTTAATTTCCCTTAAGATAATTTTTATTCCTATCATCGATTAGTATGGAAATTCTCCATAATGTTTTCTACGCATTTGTTATGGTGCTTACAGGGATAATATGTTTGACAAAAATATTTTCTTTGATTGGCTTTTATTTCCTCCATTTTGATAGCTGTAATGTTTGGCTCAGTGCTGACGATGCAAGGAGAAATTGGCCATTCTTTTTGAGGGGCTAAAAGGTTAGAAGAGGGTCCCCTATACCCCTTCACAAAACTCCGTTGCATTAAAAATAAAATTTGCCTTTTCATGCATCACAAATATCCAGAACTCTTCCACACTCATGCAAAATTCAAGACATTCACATTGAATTAATACTTTACTTCTTCTAGTCTCTATTAGTGTTACTTGATAGAATATTCAAATTTTAACAATCTGTTGTTGTTCTCATAGTTCACGGTTCGCTCAATCATTTGAGACAGAATAAAGGCTCGTTTCCAAAAAAACAACATTTAATAACACCAACATTACCACGCCATCTTGAAGGCGTGCTCATTCCTTTTTCTAACCACTGTACATTGCGAACATAATCGTGACACGATGTCACGACATGTGTA